AACTGTCGTCGGAGATCGCGGCCGCCGCCATGATTCAATGTTGTTGACAGACGACAGGGCAAACGACGCACGCGCTCATCGTGAATATCGCGAGAGTTTGCACTGATGTAAACCCTCTACACAAAAATGAAGAGGGTTGTTTGAAAAAAAAAAAAAATGCCGACGGTAAAGTTTTTTTTTTGACGTAGAAATTCTCGGTCGGTCGGATTACCGGAAACACAGTACTTTTTTTTTTCTCAGCCATGTTAACTTCCAGTAGGCATGAAAACGCCAGGGATGTGCGGTCAGGGTAGGCAGGTGCCTCCCCTGCCTTCCCTGCCTGCCCTGACCGCACATCCCTGGCGTTTTCATGCCTACTGGAAGTTAACATGAAGAGTCCATGTGATGAGTCATATACATGGGTGAGAAGGCATAGCACTTGTGGCTCCAGTGACTCTGCACGCACATATTAATTGCTGATACAGGCAGTTAGTGAACACTGATGTTAGTGTGGACCCCGTTTTTTTCGCCCTGTCGTTGCCTTGGCTGTTTTTTTTTTGTTTGTTTTTTTTTGGGGGGGTGTCATATTTTGTTTTTTTTATTTTTATTTTTTTCATCACTTATGGCAGAGGTAGGGAACTGATTCATCTAATCAGCAAGCTCTGTAAAAGCCTGAAACAGTCATGATCAATTGAATCAGGTGTGTTGGAGTAGAGAGGGATCTAAAACAGGCAGGACATGGCTCTCGAGGAACCTAAGTTCCCTAACGCTGATAACAGTTTGAAATGTAAATTTCAACTGACACCAAGTGGAAGGAAAAGATATTTTGTCTCCTTGTCCCAGTCATGTTTTTGTTTTTTGTTCCCCCCCCCCTCCCCAATACCTGTCGTGAAGAGAATGGTCGGCAAAGAGAACAACCAATTTCAAGAAAAACAGGAGATGGAATGTTTTTTTGTTGTTGTTAAATACAGGGGCACCCCAACATGTCTTCAATGCACAAAAGTTTCAGTGCTGAAGAAATCACACATCATTACTAGATATGGTGAGGCGTAGGGCTGCTCGATTATGAAAAAAAGTATGAATCCTGATCATTTTGGTAAGAATTTAAATCATGATTTTTCAAACAATCATTTTTTTTCGGGACAAAACAAGAAAATGTTAAAACTTGTCATAAATATGACAAATGAAATTCTTTGAAACACTAATTTTGTAATTTAAGTTCCTTTTAGACCAAACTAAATTTAGAAAATTACTTATTTGAAATAAAAAGTGCAAATGTACAAATTCAAATCGGTTTTCCTTGTATAGACAAACAGTGACTTGGTGTTAACTTGCTCTACATTTTTTTATTGCCATAGTACTGTTTAACATTTCAACTCAAGTCAACTCAACTGTATTTATAGAGCACTTTGAAACACCCATCGCTGTATACAAAGTGTTGTACATGGAGCAAATAAACAATTTCAACAGAGCTCTAAGTGTAAATTGGGTGGAGACTAGCAAGCTTTGAAAGAGGGACGTGGTGGAGGAATTCATGGGTGCATGCCTCAAAACAATTCAAAATTAGTATCAATGTTCGGGGGGGGGGGGGTTCTTCTTTTTTTATGAATATGCCAATTTTGTAGCTGTGGAGTGTAACGATCGAAAATGTAACTGAATTGCGATTAAATGCATAGCCCAAATGAGGAGTATGCAAAATATCGAGAGATGAGAGAGAGTACTAGATCACCAATCTTGTTCAGGTTCTGAAGAACTGTTAATGTTCTGAACTGTTAATAAAACAGATGGGCAAGATTGGATTAGTTGTACCGTATTTTCCGCACTAAAAGACGCACTGGATTATGAGGCTCACCTTCAATGAATGGCTATTTTGTAAATTTTTTTCATACATTGAACACTTCACATTATAAGGTGCAATCTACAATGCCTCCACTATATGGTGCTACGCTCCTTCCATTCAACTCGAGAGGCGTAGTTCAACTTGAGAGGCGTTCATGACCGCCGCTGAAAAATGTAAATTAACTATTACTGTACTTAAATGAAACTACAAATATTGAAAATAACGCATCAAAACAAAAAATCAAGCGAGAAAATCACAAAATAAATTCTATATCCCCCTACAGATTTTATTTTGTGATTTCCTCGCTTGATTTTCTTCGTAGTTTCATTGAAGTAATCATTAATTTACGTTTTTCGGAGGCGGCCAAGAAGGCCTCTCGAGTGGAACGGAAGAAGGCACGGAGACAGACAAAGACATACAGTACCGGTATTTGTTGAGACTGTGAAAACCATTAATAAAGTCTGCGTTTAAAAAAAATAAAATAAAACCACAGCTCTCCTTTTTTCAACAAATACAGGCGAGTCTTTGTCCGTCTCCGTGCCCTCTCTTATTCCGTTTAACTCGAGAGGCGTTCATGACCGCCTCCGAAAAACCCATTGGCATTTCCTTGATCATAGCGCCACGACTACTACGATCAGATGTCAGTAGTAGTTATTTATTCCTTTGTTGTGTATTCACAAATGATGAAATCACAATATAAATTCTGTAGGGGGGGGGGTGCTATAGAATTTATTTTGATTAATTTGTGATATCCTCGCTTGCTTTTCAGTTTTGATGTATTATTTTCAATTTCCGTAGTTTCATTGAAGTAATCACTAGTGTACGTTTTTCGGAGGCGGTCTTGAACGCCTCTCGAGTCGAACGGAAGAAGGCACGGAGACAGACAAAGACGTACCTGTATTTGTTGAGACTGTTTTTAAAAATTAACACCACACACAGCTCTCCTTTTTTCGGAGCTGCAACACAAACGTATTTGATAAAGCAGCGACACAGTTCACTGAACCAACAGCAAGTTATAACATTGGAAGCATGTCTCCAGGAAGGAGCCATCTTGGAGTCGGCGTATTACCGTAATGACCATACAAAAGACGCACCGGATTTTAAGGCGCCCGGTGAGCTTTTAAGAAAATGGAAGACTTTTTGGTGCGCCCTATAGTGCGGAAAATACGGTCCTAAAATATGCCAAATATAATCTTACATAACATGTTATTTGTCAATGCTGCAATGATATATGAGAGTGATACAGATAGAACAGCTATAAAATGTATCGAGCACAATGGATACAACAATTTCTGGTGCAAATAAAAATAAATAAATAAAAAATAACAATGTCCTTACGTTGCAGCTTGTGCTCTCACCACTGCCCCTCCAGCACAACGACTCAGTCTGCGAGGAGAATCTGAAGCCATTGTGCCTGTCTATTGTCAGGGTGACAAAAAAATAAATAAATAAAAAACCTCTTAGCTTATCACTGTCAAAGTCAGCAAGATGCCATTAAATGTTTGTGAGGACAGATCATAGCTGCTTACGTACCGGTAATAGTATTTGACCCATTCCATGGAAACGGCATTTGCGTCCCAAAGAAATAATTATATTGTAATTAGTGCTGTCAAGTCATTAAAATAATTGTGAGACAAAAACAGTATGAAGGTTAATAATTGATCTAATTAATCTAAAATTTAATATCACCTAAAAAGTGCTGAGAAAAGCCCCATTTTCATTTTTAATTCATTACATTATTGAGGCAGATCAAAAGACAAACAAATGTGGCATTATAAAGTCTTTCATTGTTGTAAACAGACTTGAACAGATGCAGTCCTAACTTACTGCTGTAGTTGAGACTACTGAGGTCCCAAGTCCTACCTGCAAACTTTAGTTTCGACCACCAGGGTGAATATCACCATTTTGTATGTTTTTGTAAATCTCCAAATAATTACAAAATAAAAATAGAACATCAGGTCCATAAAAAGTGCTTAGGTTAACATGTCAGAAACAGTCAGAACATTTTTCTGAGCAATACAAGTACTCAACACTGAACTTGCTTCGGATAATAAAAAATAAATAAGAGACTCTTAAATCACAGTGCTGTAAGTTAGCACTTCAGAAATAACACTGTTCATCATGAGAAAATAAAGTGCTGAAATAAACATCAACTACTTCTTGTCGGCTACTGAGGAGACACCAACTATGCTGACTTCATGCCTCGTACGCGGGGTGTTCTCCTCGAGTTTAGTTTGGCGAAGAGCTTTGCTTGAGCTCGCTATATTGCTCATGCTTTCGGTGCTAACATTAGCTGTGGATCAGAGGCGATTGCTCTAAGACTGCAAGGGAAGCTCAGCTTCCCCTAAAATGTCAAAAAGTAAGTGAGCAAATATATGCGTGTACATATAATAGTGTGGACATGTCATTGACTAAATATGCGCTACAACGTGCTAAACTTTTGTTCCGAATCAGCTTCTTTTTACTGGTTACGATGCAACTCACTTCTCATTCATTCCCGCAGCTTCACTGTGCTTAAAACTGTGTGGAGGCTGAGCGTCTGCAGCGTGGACGTTGGGCGTCTCGAGAGTTCTGAGTAGGTTGTCCCTTTGCATTGAAACGAGACGAGTCATTGGATAAATGCTGGTTTTGTCCCGCCTGTCGGACGCTCAGCGTCTCTGGGAGCCTATGGACAGTGGGCGTGTATCGGCCCACCCGGGAGTTGATCTTTTCTGCATGGTGACTGGATGATCTGTCTGAGGCTGAATCTCTTTTTGATTGACAGCAAAATGAGCCAATCACCGATCTTTTGGTGTCGTCATCCGTGGGAGCATTTTTCAATTCTCATTCTGTTCTGAGTTAAACGAGAGCCTACTTCTAATAGCGACACTCTCTTTGTTGAAAGCGACTAGCGACAAAGTAATCTTTTATTTCTGGTGGGTTTTATTGTACTGTAGTTGCTTGTGTTCGTAGACTGACTTATATCACCACAGGGTCACAGATCATTTTCTTGAAAAGGAACGGAGAGTAGAATTCACGTATAAATAAACGGACACATTTTATGATGTCGGCCGAAATTGAGCTTCCCCTCCTTGACAGACCAGCGTCCGCCACTGCTGTGGATGCACTCAGGACTGGGTGCTTTGCATTAATGTGGGAGGCTAAACTTGAGCTGCTTCGGTGGTCAGCAAACTCCTTCTTACAAATTGGGCACAACACTCTACTTTTATCAATAGTGCCATCAGGGCGTTTTTGAAAAGTAAATTTTTCATTCATTGTGCCGAGAACTGTCACATGCTCCTCCATTTTCACCTCTCCTCTCCTCACCGCTGCTTACTTAGCCCGCCCAACTCTGATGGGAGCCAATTAGCTTATGCTAAACAAGCCCAAACATAATGACAGCCAATCAATGTCCGCTTCAGGCTGTGACTGACAATCGTTTCCCCACCCTCAACTACTCGAACACAGGAAGCCAACACATGAAAAAGGATATTATAAAAAGGTAACCCACCTACAGAAACAAAAAAGTTAGAGATTAAAATTTAGATTAACGCAATTAAAAAAACATAACGTGCTAAATCCGACTGTAATTAATTATACGCAATTAACACGATAAATTGACACCTCTAAGGCGTAGAAAAAAAAGTAGTGTGTTTCCGGTAACCCGACCGACCGAGAATTTCTTGGTCGACAAAAAACTTTACGGTCGGCATTTTTTTCAAACAACCCTCTACTTTTTTGTGTAGAGGGTTTACATCGGTGCAAACTCCCGCGATATTCACGGTGAGCGCGTGCGTCGTTTGCCCTGTCGTCTGTCAACAACATTGAAACATGGCGGCGGCCGCGATCTCCGACGACAATTTAAACCGCGTTTTCTGTGTTACAGTCGCGTGCTCGCACCGTAATGTTAAGAAAATAGCATCCATTGATGTATCGAAAAAATAAAGCGAACTATTTGATGAACACCACGGGAAAAAAACTTTGTCCGACCTACCGACCCTATGCTGAAATTTCTTGTTACCGGAAACACACTAGCTTTTTTGTTTGGCCTAATTATAATTTCATCGGGGTTATTTTGCGTACAAAATGAAATTTGAATAAGTAATTCCAATATATAATATGGTAATACAGACCGATTTTTCTGTTGTCCCAATTCTCAAGAAAATGTTAATGCCAACTAAATACTATTCCACAGCACCAAACTGTTTCACCAAAACTTTGCACAGTCATCGGGCCTGGTGAAAATTTCGATGTAAAAAAAAAATGTCTGGGGCTTTAAATCTTGTTTGACTTTCGTCTTAGATGATTCAAATATGCTCAGGCAAATAAAACACAGTTTTTTCGATTTATTTTACACTGTTTATTTTGCCATGTCTGGCAACGCGCCACCGAGTGTTATTTTGCCCCGAATTGCACAATAATGTCAAATACAAATTCTGCTCGTTGGAAGTGTGCCTGATTGTGGTGTCGTGGTTCCAGCAGTCACACCGAAGATGACACTTTATTCCATCGTTTCACTTGTTCAAATACCAATCTGTCACATTTTATTTATTTATTTTAAACGATGTTTACAATTTCTTGTAGCCAGTCAGGAGCTGTAAACAAGCGTTTCGTTTCACGTGTTTCCCAAAGAAATCAACAGTTATGCAATTGAATGAAACAAAATGAAATACACAAAAATGAGTAGAGCCCCACAAAAATAGTGTTCAGACAGGGTACGAATAAATCGGGGCTTAATACAAAAAACATATGTTGAATGATTTTTTTTTTAATAGGTTAGTGTTAGAAATTAAGAAAAGGTCAAGAGTTTAAGCTATTTTTTTAAAGAAGGTTAGGGTATGGTGAAGATTGGAAATACAAAAATTTCTTGCCTGAAATTGCCATAATGGCCACAGCTGGAATGGGGAGCCAGTCATTTTGGAAGGCAGTTGAACAGTAACACGGCAGCCTCCATATCAAAGTAACTTCTTCATGGCCAACTGAATGTAATCACCGTAAATAGCCGATTCGCGGTCGGCCCAGAATTCCTCGCTCTGGCCACTGACCAATCAGAGCCGTTCACGAAAAAAAAACAACCAAAAAAACGCTTACATAAAGTTGCCGGTCACGGCAAAATAATACCTGCCCTCAATTTATTCAACAACCAAGTATGTCAGGTGAAATCCAGAAAGACTGTGTATATATCAGGTTATGGAAATAGTTTTAAAACAATATTACAACCATTGATGCAATACGTCGCAATTCCAGTGCACCAACAAATCTACTGATTCAGTTGTGTTCGAAGTGTTTTCTTTCCGCATGTATGTGTTCATGTTTCTGAAGATCGATTCGAGTGTCAACAGACTCGTTCTACCATGTGCCTGAAAAATGAGTTCCTTCAAAACAGAAACGCAATAATTTGCAGTTAGCCATCACACTGACCAAAGGTTTATGCAAACCATATGAGCAACAGTGGGACTTGAAGCTAAATGAAGCCACGAGCTACCCAGCTACTGCTGTAATAAGGCGAAATTAAAGAACACACCAAGAATGACATTTGGCTGTAATTACAAATACCGACGATATAATGAGTTAAGATTACACCTAATGTCGAAAGTACACTGTTAAATGTTTTATAAATCTTTCAGGTTGACAGAAATGATCTCCGAGTTGAAATCACATCTGCATTTCTGGGCGTCTATTCACAAAAATATATCGTAACTGTCTCAAATAATGCCTTTGAGAAGGAATCTTGAACAACAGTAGGCTAATAGCGACATATAATGCATTGTCTGTTGTTATAATTGTATTACCGTAGATCGATGCAACGTCTCCGAAAATGTAGGTTTTGTGTTGCGGAGCTCTCCACCAAAAGAAATCCAAACAAAAACAGACTGGAGATGCGGAAGTGTGTTGTTCAATTGGAAGCCAATCAAATCACCCAACCACCTTTTATCCAATCGGCTTACGCCAAAGGCGGGACCAAAAAAAAAGGATAGTTCGCCAATTAGAAACAAGATTGCTCCCAATAACACGCTGTCTGGAACATTCATCGATAATGTCGTTTTAAACGCTACATTCTGCGTTGACGTGATTGCCGTATTGCATGACCAAAAAGCACCTCTTAATTAATGCTTGGAGATGTTCGGTACAGTCAAAACCAAGATTTTATTGGAAATGAACAGTCACTTTAATTTAAAAATCATTTGACACCACATCTTTATTATGTGGCTTTTGACCCAATATGAGATTGACACTGTTCAATTTTTTTCTGGTGTCTACTGTATTTGAGTTAGAATCATTAATTGTTTTTTTCCTCTTACCATTCTCACGTTCTTTTGTTTTTCTTATATTATTATTTTTGTGAGATGCAACCTGCTTTGTTACAGCTGCAGCTGTTGTGAAATGCGCGATAGAAATAAAGTTGTATTGTATTCTGCTGTATTTTGTAACATTATCCTCCCTGAGCTGTCACTTTGTTGAGGTGCAAGGGTTTCTGTGTCCCAAAGTTGTCTTGGGCTTGACCACTGATGGAGTTGCCTGGGGCAAACATCTCCCAGACAAAGAACAGGCCAAGGTGCCCGATTATAAGGAAAATGTATCATTTTCCCCCTCTCCCTCGGAATTTTCATGGACCAGGATGTTTAAAATATGGTGGCACTTACGAGGCAGCGAGGAACAGTTCCACCTTGGTATTTGAAAGCAGAAGAACGATCTTACATTTTCTCTTGTCACACAATGACAGGTGTTGGCAAGTCATCAGTCAACGTGTCATACACAATCATGGTGTCGCATCAAAACTAAAATTATCACACAACAGCAAACTAATGACATATCAGCAAATAATAAAACAACTAAAACAATGAAGAAATAATTGACACAAAACATGCATTTAAACACTATTTATATTCTAGATGCTGCACAGCATACTGGGAGCGCATCCAGTCACCCAGCGATGCTACAATATGTGAAGAGTATTTATATTTTACATATTTATTACAAAGGGTTGCCCGGTGGTCCAGTGGTTAGCATGTCGACCCCAGAGTGTAGAGGTCTTGGGTTCAATCCCCGCTCTGGCCTCCCTGTGTGGAGTTTGCATGTTCTCCCCGGGCCTGCGTGGGTTTTCTCCAGGTACTCCGGTTTTCTCCCACATTCCAAAAACATGTATGGCAGGCTGATTGAACACACAAATTTGTCCCTGGGTGTGAGTGTAAATGGCTGTTTGTCCCAGTGTGCCTACTGCCCGAAGACGGCTGGGATAGGCTCCAGCACCCCCCGCGACCCTTGAGAGGATAACGCGGATCGGAAAATTAATGAATGAATGAATATTTACTACAAAGATTACAGCAGTACACATATTTACGTAAATCTTGAATTATAAAACCTGATACAGTAATTAACATTCATCAACATTGCCCTCTGGGAGAGGCAAAAAGGCTTGTGTTGGTGACCTCGAAGAAGGGTCTCACTTGACTCATGGAGGCTTTCAGTTCACTCAAATGCTCTTCTGCTGGAGGAGCTGACGGTGTCGTTGAGGTTTTTAAATTGGAGAAAACATGGTAATGGGGTAGCACTATGGTGTTCATCTCGTTCTTATTAGTTGAACTAGGTTTAAGGTTACTTTCTCATAAGACAATGGAGTGTGAAGAAAAAACCTCTTCCTGAGCTGATAGTTTCACCTGCCACTTCAGCCTTCATTTGAGCTGTCACTGCTTCCTTGTGATGTATCTAAAAACAGCTGACCTGGTCGGGAAACCTTGAAAATGAGGCTCTCAGAGCCAGTCAAGGCTGCAAACTGGCCCTTTGCCGCAATTGAAGAAATATATCCCTGTTGATGGTGACATCTCCGTGGAAGGACGAATGGGCTTACATGCTCCCACAAACCCAGGACGCATTGCTTCGGTGGCGGCAAAGGCCTGGAGCGCAGCTCAATTAATTAAAATGAGTTATTGCTGAAACAAAAAAAAAAGTTATCACAAACGCAACACAACAACGGGATGGACGAGACTGGATAGACACAGATGAAAATGCTGGCTGAGACTGCAATGATGCGCAGCCAATCAGCTCGCGGGATGAATCCACTCATGCCCACTCACACGTCTTTCTGCGATATGGCTGCCGAAATGGCTTTATTTTTTTCATTTTGATTTTTTTTTTATTATTATTATTATTATTTTTAATAAATACAGTGTTTTGGAGCAACCTGCAAAGCACTGAAAACTGCAAAACGTGAAGCGCAAAGTGGTGAGGGATTCCTGCATTTTTTTTCAAAAATGCTTTGTCTTAGTTTATTTTTTATTAGTTTAGTACTGGCTTCAATTTTTTTTTTTTTAATTTTATATTTCTTTTGTACAAACTTAAAAAAAGAAACAGAAAGGTGTATTGTGTGGTAAAAATAATGTGCAAAAAGCTAACAAGGTGTATGCCAATTGGAATTTTTTTTACACTTGGACCAATTTTTGGTCCAAGTGTAATATAGAGGTCATGTTTAAAAAAAAAAAAAAAACTTGAGATTTTATCCGATTGTCTTGAACGTGTGGGTGTTTAATCCTAAAATGTTCAGATGGCCAGGAAAAGCACTGCTTTTTTATTTTACCAAACGCTGTTGCCGCGGCGACACACTGTTTGCCAAGAAAAATGCAGCTGATTTTGATGGCCCTAAAACATGTCACAACGTGTGAAACTAGATCCAATTCATGCTTTGCAAAAGAATCACAATTGTATTAGTTTATTGTGTGGTTTTTAAAAAAATGGCTCAGGAACGCCCCCTAGAAAGTTTTAATGAACCAGCGCCATTAGTATGTTTCAGCAATATGTCCAAAAAGGGTGGCCAAGAAAATAACGCTAATTTTGAAGCCCTAAACATGCACAACAACTCATGAAACTTTGCTAGTTAGTTTATTGTGCATTTTTTAATGGCTAAACAGCGCCCCCTCGGACCAAAGCAGCCTGATTGTACTCTAGATCTACGAAAATGTGGTGGTATTTGTGACAGGTATATGCTAAAGCTGACACGAAGTCACCCTTTTTGAATTGTCTTTCATATTTGGACCCATTTTTTGGCCTTTGACAGAGGTCACATTATAAAATATTCCTCCAATAGATTTTATCTGATTATCTTGAAACTGTGGGTGTTTTATCCTCAGATGACCAGGAAAAGCAAATCTTTTTTTTTTTCAAACACTGTTGCGATGTGCTTTTTGACAAGAAAAATTATGTTGATTTTGATGGTCTCAACATTTTTGAAAACATAAGAAACTTTGCACACACATCACGCCTTGCAAAATAATCAACATTAGTTCATTGCGCGGTTTAAAAGAAAAATGGCTTAGTTGCGCCCCCTAAAACATTTTTCACGGAGTGGAGATGCGGGGTACGATTCCAGCTCTGATCTTCCTGTGAAGAGTTTGCATGATCTCCCCTTGCCTGCATGGGTTTTGTCTGGGTACTCCAGTTTCATCCCACATTCCAAAAGCATGCATGACAGGTTAATGGAACACTCTAAATTGTCCCTTGGTGTGAGAGTGAGTGTGAATGGTTGTTCATCTATGTGTGCCCTGCGATGTGTCCTGCTTACTGCCCGAAGACAGCTGGGATCAGATCCAGAACGCCCACCACCCTTGTGAGGATAATCAGATTAGAAATGAATGGATGGATAGAGTTCATATTTTATCAAAATAGCGTTTAATTTGATGTACTTCATTTTCAAAAATTCAAGCTCCAAACTGCCAGTTTCCCATTGCCCCAACATTGCCAGGGCTGCAAAGCTGCTTGGGGCTCTAGTTATACTTAACTTTATTATTATAACTGTTAAAATGATATGATCCTGTTAAATGCAAACTATCAAGCACCGAAAGGGTAGAATTTTTACATTTCACAAAATTTGAATGATACAGAAAGTTTTTGGGTGGTGGATTGGAATTTTCTTTCTACCATTTTTGTTGACATACTAGTTGTATTGCTTAATCGATGTGTGCCCTGTAATTGGCTGGCAACCTCAAGTATTTGGTGTTGGAAGACAAAATAACAAATCCAGAGTGTAACCAAACACTGTATTTTATTAACAGGCTATTTCATCGCAATAGTTTTGTGATAGCAACAGTACTATCTAGTGTACAGTCAGAGAACATAAAGTGCGTACAGGCACCCATTTCACGAACAATCAATCCAGAGAAAGCTGGCTGTGTTGTATGTCTCTCGGTACCCACCAACCATTCTGATGACTAGGATTTCTATAAGTAACATTTTTCTAATTATTATTTTATCATAGTAACTATTTTTGTGTTGCGAAATACTCATGTCTGCGATTGGCTGGCAACAAGTTCAGGCTGTACCCCGCCTAATGCCTGAAGGCAGCTGCGATCAGCTCCAGCACACCCCGCGACCCTTGTGAGGAAAAGCGGATCAGAAAATGGATGGATGGATGTATTGCTTAATTTTTTGTTGTTGTTGTTTTTTTGTTTTTTTTATGTAACCACACACATTTTGGACATTTTAGTCTCCAAATAATTTTTCTCTGACTGTTTAAGCCAGGGGTGTCAAACTCATTTCACATGGTGGGCCACATACGGCCTCGGTAGATGTCAAGTGGGCCAGACCATTAAAATGACACCATACTTTGCTATAAATAACCAAAACAATATGTCTTTCCTATGTTTTGGTATAAAGAAGCACAAGAACATTAGCAAAATGTTGAAATTTAATGAACATATCCTTTACAAAACATTTCATGAAGCACCTTACATTTCCTTCGACAAATGTGCAATTTACTTTTATCATTCACATATATGCATTGCAACTGATCCCCCTGATTGTACAAACTTTAACAAGTAATTGGTATTGAAAAATATAGTAATGCACTTTAAGATTAAACAAGATTCATAAAGAAAGCAAGTTTTAAAGCATTTACACGTGCATATAA